TAAATACATCATCTCTATGACCAAGACAAAACATTTTAGATATACTATCAACACTTTAAAACATCTTAAATACATCATCTCTACGACCAAGACAAAACATTCTACATATACTATCAACACTTTAAAACATCTTAAATACATCATCTCTACGACCAAGACAATACATTCTACGTATACTATCAACACTTTAAAACATCTTAAATACATCATCTCTACGACCAAGACAAAACATTCTACATATACTATCAACACTTTGAAACATTTTAAATACATCATCTCTACGACCAAGACAAAACATTCTACGCATACTATCAACACTTTGAAACATTTTAAATACATCATCTCTACGACCAAGACAAAACATTCTACGTATACTATCAACACTTTAAAACATCTTAAATACATCATCTCTACGACCAAGACAAAACATTCTACATATACTACCAACACTTTAAAACATCTTAAATACATCATCTCTACGACCAAGACAAAACATTCTACATATACTATCAACACTTTTCTCTCTGCAACCGCAAATTCAGGAAGATCCACTGACTTCTGGTGTACATAGAATGGTATATTGGGCAAGAGTCTAAGACTGGACATGCATTGGTGGACAAATTCCACCAGTTAGAACTGTTTTCCTGGCACATGAGACAGTAGATATCAATGGAAAAACAAAACAGAAGTCATGAGCCTCTCCAAGCTGGGAAATATCCTACTATGGTAACCATGGAAATTTGGGGTTGTACAGAGATTCAGGATGAGCTGCCAAGAGCAACTCAGTGCTCTACAGTCTTGAACCAGGGACTGACTACTCATCCAAGTATTGGAGTCACTGAGTATGCCTTCTACCACATACCCATGATACTGGTGGCATCTCAACCAGACATTAACAAAACCCCACAAAATAGAGGTGAAACCAATTAGGTTTTGCCCTCAATATTCAAAGCTGTGGTGAAGTGCTTCAGATAGGTAATTGCTTGACTCAGGAGCAAGTAACCCATCATGCCGATTTTAAGGCTCAGAAGGCGTGAACAGAGAGGCTGCCTGCTTACCTTAAGAATCTGCACTATCAGCACAGCAAAGCCCACACTGCAATATCTTTAGCAGCTCAAGAAGACATTCGAGTATATAAATTCATCGAGGGCTTCCTGGTGAAGCATTCATCATCTGAGTATAAAGGATGTCCTTATCGTAACATAAGCATATTCAGTTGCAACTAGGTCAAAGTGTTAGCTTCAAGGTGGTCACTGGAGAGGAAAAAGCCTGCCACAACAGATATTGTGATTACACCTCGGACAGTGTGTCCTGCTCAGTTACCACCACTATGTTGAGCCATGCCAAGGTTTAACCATCCAGGTGCACATCCTGGCACTGTAATGCAACTACACTAGTTTCCAGTGAATTGGAAGGGCTATCCCAGTCCTCCCATGGTTTACATGACACAGCTTATGCCAATGATGCCTATGCATGTATATTGTCTAATATGGGAAGAGAAACCCGTCTGCTTTGCTTGTGTTATTGTTGAGTAAACCACCACACTTTGTCAAGCACAAAGTAAGCAAGACTGTCAGTTCTTGTCAATGACTCAGCAGGCCCATGACAACCAACAACAAGCTATAAATGTTCTCACTAAAACTCTAGAAACTGACTTAGGGGAGCAGTGAAGGGTTTAGTGGTCAACCCAGCTCTCTCAGAGCTTGATATGTATCCATGAGGGTACAAAAGTGAGAGATTGTGTTGCTGTTTAACAAAAGAGCAGCCAAAACACCGATAGATCTTGTGATATATCAAGCCCTCCTGAGATCAACACACTTGCCGGTGGATATTGACTTTGTTCTGACGAATGGTGACAGACTATAAGTTATTCTAGAGTCTAGATGTGCCTAGGAAATGTCACAATCAGAACAAAGGTAGTAACCTCTGACCTCAGATTTGGCATTGACGTCCTCAGGACGGATGTACTGCAGAAATTATTAGTAAATTTTGCCTGTGCAACTGGTGATGTTCCACTGGAATTATCTAATTTCAGCTACATCAAACCAAGGAACAGTGAACTGCATGAGCATATGTAGTGGAGGGAATAACAGTACCTCCATATACACAAATGGTGTTCTATGGTTTAATACCGATTAAGTCCAGTGAGTCAGTACCACGTAACATTGTTATGGAAGCCACACATGAAAATGAGCTGTTTCCTGCCCAGAAAGAAGGCAGAATTAGCTGAGACAGTTATCTGTCCAAGGAGAAATGAAGGCCAGTGTTGTTTTGTAATTATGAACAGTTGGCTACCCAACTTTAGACTGGAATGGTCATAGGAGTGATACATGAAGTATAAGTAGCCAAAGATAGCAGTAATACTGGGATTGTGTTCATTACACTGCAGCAAAAAGTATACAACTACCAATGCATCTACTATCATTGGTTGATGATTGTTTAAAAAATCTAGACCCAAAGCAGTGAAAATAACTCAATGATTTGGTGGTTGAGTATGCCAATGTATATGTGGGACTAAAGGACCAATTGAGTTGAACAACAATGACTCACTACAATAAAGATACAATCAATGCACATCAAATACAGCAGCTATCATACTTGGTCATCTCCAATAGTGATTATCAGGAAGATAAACCAAGATTCTGTGTTGATTTTAGACAGTTGATTGTGGTAACTCACTCCAACATCTTTCCCTAACCGTGAATAGAAGAATGTTTCGATGTGTTAGTAGGTTCCCACTGGTTCAACACTTTAGATCTGGTACCTGGCAAGTAGAGCTGGACAATGAGAGCAGATCTAAGACTACTTTCAACACGAGAGATGACTTGTACGAGTTCCACATCATGCCATTCAGCCTGTGTAAAAATTTGCCCACCACTTTCAAGATGCTAATGGAGCTTACCTTGAAGGGGCTAGAGTGAAAGATACCTTGTCCATGTCGATGGTTTTGGTGTTGGTTGCATGTTTGAATCTGTGGTTGAAAATGGTGTTCAAGTGGATAAATAAAGCAGGTTTGAAACTAAATCCTGGAAAATGTGTGCTCATACATACAGAAGTGTAATTTTTTAGTCACATTGCAGATAAAGATGGAGCTTACATACCCTGCTAATATAGCAACAGTAAGAGATTGGCTTCAACCTGTGAATAAGCAAAAAGTCTGCAATTTTGCATTGTATCATCAATGGTTTATGGCCAATTTCTTCAAAGCTGCATTATTGTCTACTTTTACGAAAATTGAGATGTAATTTGAACGGAATATGACCAAGCATTTCAATCCCTTCTTTTAATGGATGCTCTAGGTGATGTCTTGAGGATACAGCTTCCCCTATGTTGAATGAGAATGCCCAGTCATGTGAGAAGTGCTAATTCACTAAGGTAAACCTGACGTTTCCTGTTAAGTAAGAAATGTTAAACCTAAACAGGATCTCAAGTGAGTTGGTTGATGGGAAGACATCTTGAGGGAAGAAAATATGTTAATCAGTTCACAAGTCAAACAAAAGATGACCATCCTAAGGCAAGTTTACATGCTTTGTTTTGTGTCTTTGAATAAATATAGTTCTTATTCTGTGTTACACATCATGTTCAGTCTCTTTATTTCTTATCTTAAAACTCAATCAGTTTAGAAATTCAGCATTACTTCATAATTCATCTGCAGATCCTCCCCGTATAAAGTAAGCCTCCCTAATACTCTTTGAAGAAATCAGTTTAACCTGAAAATACCACTGTGTGAGTGATACTTAGCATACTACATATTTCAGTTTTACATCTTTTTATATCAGAAGTATCCACCGAGAGAAAATTACATTAAAATATCCTGATTATAATGCTAAACTTCAGATTTCAATCCCTGCAATGGGCACAGCATAGATAAGCCCATCATGAAGCCTTATGTTAAACAAAATTTTAAAATGTTTCTAAAAATCGTTTTGAAATTATGTACAAAGTTCAGCCCTAGGTGTTGCTTTCTGTAGCAGGTTTGGTCAAGGAACTTATCCATTGTTTTATTGAATAGTTGTATTGTGTCCTACTTTTCCTGATTTATAGAGAACTATTTAAAGCCTTCATATGATGTAGAGATACTCCTGGACGTTTGTGATCCACTGTTCTGAATGGTGATTGGAATATTCCTTTATATTTTCCAAAATTTTGAGCCAATATGCTAGAGGGAATGCAGTTTAGTAACAGCACCCACCATCAACTCTTATCTGACCGAATAGTGGGATTTTACCATTACTCTTATAATGAACACACAGTCCCAAATAGTGTGTTTGTGGCAACAAGATGAGAACTACAGATCCCTAAATTCACAGTCCAGAAGTACCAACAACTAAGCCACACCCATTAATTTGTTACAACTTTGTTGTTATTATCAGTTACTCTACAAATACACGAAGAAGTTTCCCGCATGTACAAAACTGGCATTTTATCCCAATTAGGCTCTGATGTTAATTCATCCATGACAGAAGTTTGGAACTGAGCTGGATAAAATGGTTACATCATCATTTTTTGTGATGATGATCCCAGCTTATAACAGCACTTCTGAATGTATCTCCTGAAGACTATCTGTTGGAGTAACTTCCTAAATCATGGAAAGATTAAACTACAAGTTCTCTCTAATAAACAGATCATATGTATATTTCTGCTTTTATGAAGTTTTGAGACAACTATTTGTGTGATAACAAATCTATTTCTGTACAACATTTCATCTCTATCAGTGAGACATGATCACATACAACATTTAAGGTACAAGTACATTGATCACGTCTCACTGTCAGAGACAAAAATTGTACAGAAATATATCTATTGTCACACATATAACTGTCTTAAAACTTCACCTTTTTTCATAAGTTAAGTGTATAACTCATAAAAAGCAAATTTCTGCTTTTAATTTAAATCTTAATTAATTGTATAACAGATATTAATACTGTATGTCAATAAACAAGTCTAGTAATTTTTCTTGAAAAGCATATCTTTATTATCAATATTTGTTCCCATTTAATATTTTCTACGAATATGAGAGTTATCATTTTAATTTATAGTAATTCATAGTTCATCTATCTCAAAACAATTTAGTAACTGAAAAAAAGAGTAATCTAAGTGAAAATGACAATCAAAAAGAAACAACTTATTTTTTCATTTGCTACAGATATAAACATTATAAATAACTTTTCAGTTTTATTAAGTTTAAAAAAATACAAGTATAGCTCACGATTTCAGCTATTCTAAAGTACTTAATTTCAACTGGCACTCGTTATACTAAGTAGCTTGTGTATTTTTTATTTTCATCATAAACACATTCATGAAGAAAATCTAAATAAAACACAAGGCCGAAAGAGATAATAAAATATTCATATTTTTACAAAACAAAGTAAATTTTATGTTTTCTTGTGGAGTTTCAACGCAGAATAAAAACATACTAAAACTTGTAAAAATTCATTTCACGTGTTTTTTAGTTTCCTCATACCAATGCCTGATCTGAAAATAGAAAAGAAAAGAAGATTCAATAGAAATACTAAAACATTTCTCAATGACAAGAACCTTCACAGCATTGGTGAAAGTCCAATGTCCAGGAGAGGACTTATCCTAGGCTTGACACCTCTCTCATACAACTGTGTCTCTTCAGCAGCAAACTCTCCCTCTCAGTTCCGAGTTATTTTACTTACAGAATGTAGCATTCTTTCAGTGAAAAGCATTCCTTTAAACTCGTACAACGTAGAAAAAAAGGGAAGTATAAAGAATGATAAGACTCCTGGGCCAGATAATATATCCACAAGGGTTTTGAAGGAAGTTAAGGATTGGATACGTGATCTACTTGATACTATTCTTTTTGTTAGTCCTTGAATAGTGGGCAGATGTCAGAGGATTGGAAGTTGGCTAATGATACTCTTCTCTTCAAGGGAGGTAACAAAAATTGTCCCTGTAATTATAGGCCTATTATTAATACATCAGTAGTGGTAAAAGTTTTTGAAAGTCTGACAAAAGATGTTTTACAAGGTCATTTAAACATACTTTAAAATTTGGTTGGATGGTCAACATGGTTTCATTAGGAGAAAATCTTGCCTTACAAATCTTCTAACATTCTTTGAATAGGTTACTGCTTATGTTGATGAGGGTAATGGTGTGGATCTGGATTTTCAGAGAGCATATGAAAAGATGCAACATAAAACGCTTGTTAATAGAATGATTTCTATACTTGTGGGGGGAGACAAGTTGCTAACTGGAAAGAAAAGTAGCTAGATGGAAGAAAGAAGAGGGTAGTTATAAATGGAATTCAGTCAAATTGGATTAATGTCACAAGAGAGATACCTCAGGGCTCAGTGTTAAGACCTTTGCTTTTTTTTATCTTATAAATTAAATAGATGAAGGAATGGTTAATAAATTACTTAAATTTGCTTATGATATTAATGTTTTGGGTGTTACTGGTTGTAAGGAAGATGCTACTACTTTAAAGGATTTGGATTATTTGAATCACAAGCATAAGTTTGATGGGAATATTCTTAACAGTGTTATGGTTGATAAGTCCCTTAAGCGATCCAAACAGTGTACTATTGCTATTGGTAGTATTTTAGACTGATCTACAGAAATACTGAATATAAGTCTAAAGAGATTATAATTTCTTTGTATGGGTTACTGGTTAAACCAAATTTGTAGTACTGTGTTCAGTCTCAGGCAACTTTCCTGAAGAAGGACATTGTATTTGAGAAGGGTTCAGAGGAGGACTACAAGGATGATACCTAGGATGACTGTCATAGGAGGACAGGTTAAGATTTCTGGAATTGTTTTCTCTTGAAAAAAGAAGAATTAGAAGAGAACTGATTGAGGTGTTTAATATTGTTAAGGAAATTGATAGTGTCAATGCATCGTTTTTGGCACTTAGTGGTTATAATGGTAGGTCTAGAAGACACAAATAAAAATTTTGGCAGGGTAAGGTCATCTTCAGCTAAGACAGTGGAAACAGTACATTTAAGAGCTTAAGGGAAGGTTTTATAAATATTTGAAAGATATGGGTTGGCTTTGAGAGTTTAATTTTCGAAAATTTTTTAAAGTGTAGTTTAATGGATGGGACAGCCTAGGAGAACCAACAGGACCCTTGTTGTTCTTAAATTTTATGTTATGTCAAACCTACTTGATAATCTGGAAATTGTATAATCATCACATGGCAACAAAACTTTATTTTTCACACAAACATAAAAAAAGACTTAAGGGAAAAAACATCATTAATCATGGTACATTTAATAAAATGACAAAGAAAGAATATTAAGCTACAAAGTTATAATAAAGAAATTCATCAAATCATCACGGTATCTTTAATAAAATGCGAGTAACAGTACAAAATGACCCAAGTATGAGAATAAGCAACCATATGTTCCAAACATTCTGACACACTGTGCTTCACTAAATTAATGATGATTATTACAATTACTTTTTGTAAATATACCCAAAAATATCAATCTTCACTTTAATATATATTTTTAAATTAAAATTTTGTTTTAGCCTACAAAAGTTTCAATTCATTTTTCTAAGTTAAAGAAATAAATTGGGTATTAGACTTAGTCTACTTATACACCCTAGAATTGTAACTTGCAAATAAAAACACATTTTTTAAGTTGCTGATGAGGGAAATTTCAGTTACACACTTAAGCTTTCTTATTAATATTTTGGGTGTTAACCAAAACAAGTATATAAATTACATATTATTATCAACTGAATGAAAAGTTTCACACTAAGCTTAAATTAAAAACCTGCAATCACAGTTATCAATGGTCAAAAAACTACACCAAACACTCTTACCATTATTACTTTATCAGTTTTTAACTTTTTACTCTAATCAGTCACTCATAGGTGTTCAATAGCATTTACTATATATTAATAGTTCAATTGTTTAAGTATAAATTAGTTGTTAAAGAAAGAACTTACCAATGAATGTACTTCTTTAATAAACTATTGACATAACATAAAAATAAGTTTGGCAGTTTTATTGTCAAATTATTACATTTATTTATTTCTACTTAATGAAATGAAGTAAGGTACTAAGTCATAAACGTTATATAGTGTTTTGTTTACATGACAGTCTATCTTATATATAGTAATTATCTTGTAACTATGCATAATTCAACCGGTATACTTTGTAATCAGTAAGATTGAGAAGAAAAACTTTAGTTTCTAACTTATGGTATAAAAATATTAAAGTACTTAATATTATTACCATTTACATAATCTGTCTACATTGTGAGAGAATGTGCTTTACATTTTCAAATAGACCCCATGGAATTGTGGAAGACTAACGGAAGTTCAAACAATTCATTACACCAGAAGATAATGATAATTTCTAGATGTCAAAGGCAAGAATTCACTGCCTAATTTTAAAATTATTGCTTTAGTTTAAAAGAGAGAAGATATGTTATTCCCAAGCAAATTTATTCAAATTATTGTGCAAATGAAGATTCAACATTTTCAGATTACTAGTGTGATTTTGTAGTAGAAAAAAAAAGTATTTATGTTAAAAGCAAAAACAGTAACTTCTCTTTCTTTCACCACCACTAAAGCTCATAAAATTAAAAAAATGTTCTCAGATATGATTTAAGTTCTAAATTTAATTACAACGGTAGGATGTTCAGTAGCTATTCTTAGGCTAAATATCCTTTGTCCAACTTCCAAATGACAAAGCATACTAGTAACAGCTATTATGATAAATATTTGAGACTAAATAATTGTATTGTATCATCAAATATGCTAAACCTACTAATTAACTAATGTTTGCTAACCTTTCTGGATATCTTGATTTGGAATGCGTGAAATCCCCGTTTCGAATGCAGTCTTGACAAAAAAAGGCTCGTTTGCTATGAAAACACAGTGGACATTTTTCACCCCCAAAAACACTTCCTCTACCGTTGTTGGAACTTAGAGATGAAGAAAGGTAAAAATCCGTGGGTGCAGAACTACTATCATTACTACTACTACTAGCCGCCATCAGCTAAGCATTTCGACTGTTCTTGTTATTATTTGCAAAGTTAAGGCTTTGTTCTTTAACTTCAGTTTAATTGTAACTGTTTGTGTTACTACTAGTGTCCTCTAGCGAGATAACGAAGTCGCAACAGCTGTTTCGAATGCAGTTGGTTCCATCTGGTGGAAAGAAGTAAATTGATAAAAAACATTAAATATAAAAAATCGCTGCAAAGTAAAGAGAGAAATTTAAAATATATTAAACCTGTTTGAAGATTAAGAAAACTTACAGTAACTATAATGCCTCTGTATGTAAACTTGCATGTTTTTCTCCTGTTAGTGCTAAGTGAAGTTCTGCTACAAAACTAAATTCAAGTTGCAATATTAAATACCCCCCAGTGACTCAGCTTCAAGTCCGAGGGCTTATAACATTAAAAATCAGGTTTCGATACTCGTGATGGACATAGCATAGATAGCTCATTGTGTTGCTTTGCGCTTAACAATAAACAAACAAAAACAATACTGAAATGTTTTTGTTGAAAAATGGCCTTCCGTTTAATTAAAGTAAAAAAAAAGGCATGAGATGATGCTAAAGTTTAGTAAAGTTAGTGTACAAATATAAAAAAATGAGATATAATTTTGTATTCGTAGCAATTTCATGGGTAAAATAAGCCCGCAGGTATCTGACCTCCGCGTCCCTCGTTGGGTCAGCGATAAGTTTACGGACTCGTAATGCTAAAATCCGGGGTTCGATTATTCGCGGCGGACAGAGCGCAAATAGTGCAGCTTTGCGCTAAAACAACAAAAAACAATCGGATCTCGGCAACAACCAGATATTAGTACGGGAAATGACTGGTGTAGCGATTTTGGAATGAAATGAAAGACACCAGACACGGTATTGAAGTCAAAGTGGGTTCCTCGTCATCGAATAAAACCCATTAGTACTGGAGGCTACAGAAGAGTGATCGACTAACCAAAGAACTTTTGGGAATTAATAAACCGAAAAAATTGAGTTCTATAAATGAATTATAATATTAAAGAACAACCTAAAATGGACTGTACCTTTGTTTGAATAGAAATTACACCGCACATGATCAGCAAGTTGAGAAACAAACGAAAATAAAGATGAGATTTCATAAGCTGATCTCCCTCACAACAAAAACTAAATTAGATGAAACTGTCAAAACTGCATTTTACAATTACCATTTTCTCTGAACCACAAAATCAGAAAAACGTACTACAAGAGTATTCTGTACACCGATAAGATGAAATTAATATGTAAAACCGTAGATAAGTTCCGTGATTAAGCACTGCTTCTGAAAGCTTTGACCAGATTTAGCAAGTTCAAAATCAGGACTTAAAGAAACTTAACATTTTAGTAGATATGGAATATATAGTATGCAGACATACCTTGTTCTTTTTTATCTTATCATTTTAATTAGAAATTTCAAAAATTAATTTATTCTAAATATATGCAGTTTTGTATAGAAAAGCCCAGAAAACCGTTAAATTGACTTGTTTTAGATGCCTTTGTTATACTCTATAGATAATACATGTTCTGCAGATGTGAGGTTTTATTGCAATGCTGCACGTGCGGCAAAAATGTAGATGAAAACAGATTCCTTCATTGGTAGGACAGAAAATATTTCGTGGCTATGGACTCCCCTATATTGAATGAGAATGACCATCACATGGGTATCGCTAGTTGCTATGGGTGAATCCCGTGTTTCCTGTTAAATAAGAGTTATTAGATTAAAGCAGTTTACAAAGGAACAAAGGACCCCAAGTGAGTTGGTTGATGGGAAGACATCTTGAAGGAAGAAAATCTGTTAACCAGTTTACGAGAACAGCAAACGGTAACCATCCAGTATCCAATGCAAGTACTCACAGTTTTGTGTCTCTGAATAAACAAAGATTGTTCTACTTTTCTATTAAACAGTGTTTTCAGTATCTTTGTTTCTTACTTTAAAAGTCAGTCAGCTTAGAAATTCAGCGCCGCATTGTAATCTATCCTATTAATCCCAGTATTATAAAATAGACCTACCTAATACTCTTTGAGGAAAATAGTTTAACCTGAAATACTACAGAGTAAGAATGACAACTTTTGATGCCATGTCCACAGGAATTTATTGCAGTTTTCTGTTTTTACTAACGTGCATATTGATCTTAAACTGAACAAGTTGATACATGAAACTGAACAAGTTGCTAGATGGAACTGAACAAGTTCACATGTGAAACTGAACAAGTTCACACATGAAACTGAACAAGTTGCTAGATGGAACTGAACAAGTTCACATGTGAAACTGAACAAGTTGCTAGATGGAGCTGAACAAGTTCACACATGAAACTGAACAAGTTCACACGTGATACTGAACAAGTTGCTAGATGGAAACAAGATCAAACAAGATGATCACATTAATTATTTCTGAGTCTGTACAAGGGATCACTTCAATAAGAAATGGGAGCTAGAATGGAAGTTTTATATTTAAATATGGTAGTAACTGGCTTGTTTTGTAAGGGTTATTAACTCAGTTCTAAAAGCAGCTTTAAACCAGAACTAGGCAGTGGTAAAGGCTAGGATATGCTGAAAAAAATAAGATGTGGAGAAAAGTGTAGTGTACAAACAAAGTACCAAAGTTTTTAGGGTCGGTTAAATTGTAATTATTGTATTGCTAGAAGTCTAAAAAATAAAACGGGTGACTTTAGAACATTAGTAGGAACAGAGGATTTTGATGTAATGGAAATAGCCAAAACTTGGTTAAAAGTATACAATTGGATGATAGAAATGTCTTTGAAGTATAGGGTTATAGGTTATTTAATAGGAACATAGTATTAAAAATAGAGGGGGTGGGGTAGATTTTTTTGTTTTTTATATAAAATGTGAGTTACATCCTGTTGAAGTTGAGAATATCAAAGAAACTGAATTTACTTGAATTTCTGTTAGCAGATATAGGAGAAGGCTTTAAATTGGTATTTTTTACATTAATGAGAAACTACAGTGAGGTAAAATTCTGATGTTAGTGAGGTCTTAATTATGAGAGACTTTAATTTCAAACACTGGAAAATGTTAAGAGTTAAATCATAAAAAAGCATATTCTGAAGGGATGTGAAAAGAATAATTTGTTGTGAATTGGGCAACTGAATTAACTGGACATACTCACGAAATGGGGCAACTGAATTAATTGGATACTGATGAAATGGGGTAAAATGTTACTTATAGAAAGAGAAGGGAGGGTGGCTGCTAGTATAAAAAAACAGATTGGCTTACAACAGATATAAGAGGTAAAATTAAAGAAAAGCATTATAAACTTATGAAGTTTAAATTGACTTCTATGATGGGAGATTTAAGACGTAAAAATTAACAGTAAGGATTTCTTTAAATATACTTAGGGTAAGCAAAATGTTAGGATGAGAGTAGGGCCATGAGAGAAGATGATAATGGAAGGTTCATTTCTGTTGATTAAGAGATAGCTGGGTTATAAGTTTTATTTTTCTTCAATTTTTACTAATGAAGATTTAAACAATATTCCTTATCTGAACAAGTTCACACATGAAACTGAACAAGTTGATAGATGGAACTTAACAAGTTGATACATGAAACTGAACAAGTTGCTAGATGGAACTGAACAAGTTGATACATGAAACTGAACAAGTTCATACATGAAACTGAACAATTTGCTAGATAGTGACCAATCTAGATTGACACAATTAAACTGTAATGAAGTAATGAAGCTGGGTAATTAGTGGAATTTGATAACTGATTAATAACAAGTTGTATTCAGCAAACACATTATTCTCACATGAGACTAATAGTTGGAATAATAAAGAATGGTAATAATGAGAAATATGTTGATCAGATATTATTTTTGTGAACAGTGACACTAAATATTTAAACTGAACAATGCTGAATTAATTACAAATGATAATGAGAAATTATAATAGCATAATTTTGATTACTTGGATAGTTGGAATAGGAAAAAAACAATAATAAGTGGAAACACTAATTTAAATTAATTGATTATTTTATGTGATATTAATTGACTTAGTCAAGTTAATTACCCAGTTGTAGCTATGTTAAATATCTACACAGCTGAGTGAAACACGCTTGTGTATCTTACAAAAGGCAGCCTTAAAAATTGATCCAAAAACCTATTTAAGACTTAATTGTGGAGATAAGTACATCACTATGGAACTAAGCTTAAGTTACAATATAAAGATGATTGGCTGGTTGGACTCGTTTAAATCATGAGCACTTCATTACAGTTTAATTGTGTAGATATAAATGGATAGTTAAATCATGAGCACTTCATTACAGTTTAATTGTGTAAGTCTAGATGGATAGTTAAACCATGAGCACTTCATTACAGTTTAATTGTTTAAGTCTAGATGGATAGTTAAATCATGAGCACTTTGTTACAGTTTAATTGTTTAAGTCTAGATGGACAGTTAAATCATGAGCACTTCATTACAGTTTAACTGTGTAGATATAGATGGATAGTTAAATCATGAGCACTTCATTACAGTTTAATTGTGTAGATATAAATGGATAGT